AGGAGGAGGATGAGGAGGGGGTTAGTGTGAAGGCCAAGTGCAAATCGAGCGCTGCTCGGGCGCCGGCGCCGCCTCCTTCCTGCCGGGGGGGGCCCCGCGGCCCCCGCCGAGCGAGAGGAGCCTTTAACCGTCCATGGGGCCGGGGGGGGGCAGGTCAACCCCCCCCCCGCTGGGAAACCCTCCGTGTTGGGGTCACCGAAAGGGGGGCGCCCCCCCAGCGCGGGCAGGGGGTGCGGGCCACGCAGGGACCTCTCGCTGCTCTGGGAAACCAAAGTTAGGGGCGGGGAGGGACAGGGCTGAAATGGGCTTTTTTCTTTTTTTTTTCTCCTTTTTTTTTCTGTTTTCTGTGTTTTTTTGAACTTTTTTTTTTCCCGGTTTTTGCCGTCTTCTCCGTTGCCCGGCCCGGGCGGCGCCGGCACAGGCACTGCATGCGACGGAGGCGGGCGGCGCGGCGGGCGCTATTTCTGCCCGCTGATGGACTGCGCTATGGAGCGCGGCGGGATCATATCCAGCAGGTATTCCCGCTGCCGGTCCGCCAGGCTCGACGCCTTGTGGCCGCCCAGGCCCGCGTTCAGGTAGGCGATGTTGACACCTGCGCGGGACAGCGGCGCCGCTCGCGGCTGCTCCGGCCCCAGCGGCCCCGGCGGCACCAGGAGCGGCCTCGCGCGGCCCCTCGGCGCCCCTTCCTCCTCCTCCTCCTCCTCCTCCTCCCGGGATCCGGCCCGGCACAGGATCCCCCTCAGGGTCCCGTGGGCACCTTCCTGGTGCCGGCCCCGCTGCCGTGCCCTGCTCCCCGGACCCCCCATTCCCGCTGCTCCCAGCATATCCCATTCCCACTGCCACTCGGATCCCCCATTCCCACTGGTGCCTGGACCCCCATTCCCGCTGCTCCCCCAATCCCCTGTTCCCACTGCTCCACGGATACCCTCTTCCCGCTCCTCTGTGGATAACCCATTCCTGCTGCCGCCTGGATCCCCCATTCCCCCTGCCACCTGGATCCCCATTCCCACTGCTCCCGGGATACCCCATTCCCACTGCTCCCAGGCTACCCTGTTCCCACTATTCCCGGGCTACCCTGTTCCCACTGCTCCCCAGATCCCCCCTTCCCGCCGCTCCTGGGATACCCCATCCCCGCTTCTCCCCAGACCCCCCATTCCCGCTGCTCCCCAGATCCTCCATTCCCGTTGTCGCCCAGATCCCCCCGTTCCCGCCGCTCCGGGCCGCACCTGGCATGCCGAGGAGCCCGCCCGCCACGGAGAGCTGCGGCGCCTGCGCGAAGTTGGAGAGCATGGAGCGCGCCGAGGTGGGCAGGCCGCGCTGCAGGGCGCCCTGCGGCTGCGGCGCCTGCGGAGGGGCACGGGCTGAGCGGAGCCGCGCGGAGCCGCGGCCGGCCACGGCGGAGCCGGGAGGGCTCCGGCTGCCGGAGCCGCCCGTGATGCCCCCCCAGCCCCGGCTGCGAGGGACCCCACCGCGCAGCCGCTGCCGGCGCATCCCCATGTTGCCGCATCCCGATGTCGGCACCGGCCCCGCGCTCCCGGGACGGCATCTCCCACCCGTAGCACGGAGCAGCGGGAAGGCAGGAATGGGGAGCAAGGGAGCCGCTCGTTACAGCGCCTCATGAACGCCCTGCGCAGAGGCCCAGCCCAAGGACCGGGCTCAAACGCACCCTCCAGGGGCCGAGGGAAGAGCGAGCGGCGCAGGGCAGCGGGAAGCAGCCGGGAAGAGGCCGGAGGCTCCGCGCCCGTCCCCGCGCGCCGGCCGGCGCCGCTCACCTGCCGCAGCGAGTGGTGCCGCATGATGCCGTCCTGTTTGCTGACGCTGGCGACGGCGGGGGCGGCCGGGGGCGACAGCGCTGCCTGCTGCTGTAGCCGCTGCTCGATCTCCTGCGGGGCAGGGGGGGCTGAGGGGCCGGGACCCCCGGGCCGCGAGCGGCTCCCGCTGCAGGGAGCCCCAGGCGGCGGCTCCGCTCGCGCCCGCCGCGCCGCTCCGTGGGAAACGGCTTCCCCGCTTCCCGCCGAGCGGCGTGGCTCGTTGCTGCGCTGTCCCTGGGTGCCCCCTCCCAGCACTCCCATTCCTGCGCTAGCCCGGGGCACCCTCATTCCTGCACTAGCCCAGGGAATCCTCATTCCTGCACTATCCCAGGGCACCTTCTCCAAGGACCCCAATTCCTGCACTATCCTAGAGCACCCTCTCCCAGCACCCCTATTCCTATGCTAGCCCAGGGCACCCCAGTTCCTGCACTATCCCAGGGCRCCCTCTCCAAGCATCCCCATTCCCRCACTATCCCACGGCGCCCTCTCTGAGCTCCCCCATTCCTGCGCTATCCCAGGACACCCTCTCCAAGCACCCCCATTCCCGCACTATCCCAGGACATCCTCATTCCTACGCTATCCCAGGACACCCTCTCCAAGCACCCCCATTCCCGCCCTATCCCAGGACATCCTCATTCCTGCACTATCCCAGGGCACCCTCTCCTACACCCACCCACCAGACCCCGCTTCTACCCCCAAAGGAACGCGCAGCGAGTGGCTAAGTGACTTCCCCGGCACTCCGGCAAGGCGGATGCAGGAGCCCCAAGCGGCTGCCCCTGCTCCGGCTGCAGCCGGCRCCTCCCGCTGCTACCAACAGACGGAGCGGCAAGGGCAACGCGGCAGCCATCCCTACGGGAGAACCCAGACTTCCCAAAGGCGGGAGGTTTGTCCGGGCGCTGCCGGGGAGCCCCGGCGAGCAGGCGGCCGCCGGTGAGGGCGAGCGGCGCGGCGCACTTGCCTGCTCCTGCTGCAGGGCCTTCACGAAGGCGTTCTTGAGCCGGTTGGTGTGCTCGGCCTTGAGCGCCTTCTTCTGGTTGGAAGTCATGCACTGCTCGCACAGGATCTTGCCGTTCTTCTCCTGCTTCCAGTGCGGGGTGAAGTCGGTGCGGCACTGGGCGCACACGAAGGGCTCCACGCGCAGCAGCGCCGCGCAGCTCTTCCCTGCGGGGCGGCGGCGGCACGCGTGAGGGCCCCGGGGCGCCTCGACGCCCAAGGGTGCCGCGCGGTGTGTCCCACTCAGCCCCACGACACCCAAGGGTGCCGCASGGCGCCGCCCGGTCGGCCCCTCGACACCCAAGGGTGCCGCACGGCATGTCCCGCTCAGCCCCACGGCGCCTCGACACCCAAGGGTGCCCCACGGTGAAACGTGCCAAGCCCTACGCCCTCCTGCCAATTCCTGGGCCCAATTCCCACCAGCCGCAGCTCTTCCCATTCCCATGGGAATGGCAGGCAGGCAGGCTGCTCTCCCCCAGCCCTTCCGCAGGGCTGCCGGGCAATCCCGGCTCCACGGCACTCGGGTGTTTCTGGCATTCCTGGCTGGCAGCACGAGGGAGCGGGAGGTGCCCAAGCGCCCTGGAAGGGGCCGCTCCGCTCGGCACGAGGCGGCAGCCCCGGCTGTGCCGGCCCGGGACCCAGCGCGCAGCCGGCAGGACCGGAGCGTCGCGTCGGCCACGCGGGACCCGAGAGCAGCCAAAAACCACCACAGGCACCTGGAGCAGCGCAGGGTGAAAACCCGCTCCCCACTGAGCCCAGGGTGCTGGGCATGGAGGAGGGATTGGGGCAGCACCGTGACCGCGGGGCCACGCGCCAGGCGCTCACCTTGGCTGTCGATAACGCTCTGCACCACCTCCTCCAGCCCCACCATGTAGATGAACTCGCTGTTGGCCGCGCTGGGCAGGAAGTGGAGCAGCGGCGCGGGCGGCTTGGGTGGCGGGATCTCCAGCAGCGTCTTCTCCAGCTGCTTGCGCAGGGCCAGCTTGGCGGCCGCCTGCGAGTTGGCGGCGTCGTTGAGGGCGCTGGGGCTGGGGAGCGGCGACGACACCCGGGCCACGGCGCCGGGCTGCATGTGGGAYGCGAGGTTCATATAGATGGCTGACGAGGACGTGCGCTGGCAAGGAACTGAAGAGCTGGACTGCTGCGGAGGAAGGGGAGAGCGGCGTTAGCGGGGCTCCCGCGGGAGAGGCATCGCGCTCGCGCCGTCCCCAACGAGGGCCGGGACGCCAGGGCCACTCGGAGAAGGCGGCAAGCCTCTGTGCAGCCTCCCTGTAAACGTGCAGGCATCCGTGGAGGCAAGAGCCAAGCTGGATCCAGGGGCAGGGGCACTTGGCATCCGCGTGGCAGGGCCATGAGGAGCTCGGGCGGCTCCTTGGGCAGCTCGGGCAGTTCCTTGGGCAGCGGGGACGGTGGTGGCGAGCCCTGGTTCAGCCGCTGGCACCGCTGCTCTCACATCGTCTCCTCCAGCTCCCGCCTCACCTCGCTGGCGGGCGCCCACGCAGCGTCCCCATGCCAGCTGCCGGCCGTGCCCTCCACGCAGGTGCCCGGTGCCTGCCGGCTCCCTCCTCTCCCAGCTCCGGGAGCTCCCTCTCGGGCCTCCTCCCAGCGCTGCGACTGCTGCCGCTTCCACGGCCCTCTGCGAGGGGCGGCCGGGAGCTCCCGGCTCCTCACGCCGCTGCCGCAGCCTCCTGGCCGCATCCTGGGGTAGGAACCAAGGGAAAAGCCCCGACAGCCGCTGCCTCGCTCAGGGATTCGGTGGCGAGCAGCGAGGCTGGGGTGACAACCTCACGCTGCTCGGGAGGGACACGGGCAGGTGGAAAAGAGGCCRTGGTGCCGGGGAAACGCGGCTGGGTAAAACGCTGCTGACGCTGCGTGGGCTGCGCGGGAGAGGCAGCCAAGTTAACAGGTTCGTCTCCCGTAGGCGCAGGCAGAAGCTGATTGGGGGCACGATGGGAATTTCAACGGAACGAGGAGAAATTAGCACCAAGGAGCTGAAGAGGAGGTGGCCGTGTCGTTACTGAGGCATTACGGACCACACGCCTCCAGAAAGAGCGAGCAGACCTGCCCCCGGCTCCACCGGCCTGTCGTTCCRTGCGGATCCGAGGGACAGTCACCCCAGTGGCTCCACCACAGGGAGCTCTTCGTTATTTATCACTCCATTCTCTCGTGCAGGTCGAGGGCGTTAGTCTTTGTCCGTGTTTCACGCACGTGCACCCACGKCGGCATCATCCCGGCGCCGAACGTCTCCGTGGGATCCATCGGCCTCCTAGGGCCCTTGCCCTTCTCCTTCCTTCCCAACCCTCCAGGCAGCTACGGCCCCAAGGGGCAGGAGAGGAGCTACCTACCGGCTGGTAGTTGATGGCTGGATTCATGCTCGGAGTCGTAGTGCGGACGAGGCCGGGCTTGGGGGGCACGCGCTGCCCTTGGAGCTGCGCCGGGTTCGGCGCAATCACCCGCTGCGACATCAGCATGTGGGGCAGGGTCGTGTTCGTGGCCGACCGAATGACGCTGTGACCCTGTGGAGAGAGGGAACAAGGAATAAAGGGGGAAAAAAGAGAGGTCTGGGGGCAACCTGGGATTTTTAGTTCCGTGCTCAGGCTCGGCAAGGACTGAGCATTCCCACTCCTCCGGAGTGTCCAGGCAGGACACTTCATGCGCCGGCTGATGGTTTTCATGCCCTACTTGCTCTCWGTGAGGCTCTTCATTGTCCCACAGYAGAAAACCCTCGTGAGGCCYGTGCAAACAACGCGCTTCCTCCTCCCTGGCAGCCCCTTTCCTTCGGCAGCCCCATCCCGCCGCGCCGCCACAACAGAGCCCACCCCGCAAGCGTTGCCACAGCGGAGACAACGAATGTCCCAAACAAGAGAGACGGGCAAGGGGTGACTAAATGACCATGAGGATGGGAATGGTCAGTAGGACGGGCGTCCCAGGCACGGCGCTTCCCAAGGGCATCCCCGGCACTTGGGTTATCCCAACACACCGCCCAGGAAGGGCAAGGGGCCGGGCACCGTGGGGACGCTCCGGGGCTCCGCGTGGCCCTGTCCAGCCAGCTCCTCCTGCTGCCTCTCCCTTTATCCGTCAAGCAAGCRGGATGTCCGGAATTCGCCCTCCTCCAGCACACGTGCAGAAAGGCAGCCGGGCCAGGCGGCACCCTACTCTATCTATAGCGCTTCTCCCAGGGAACGGAAGCAGCTCAGGGCTTTTTCCTGCATTTTTCCTTGCTGTTTTCCCTCTACCAGCTGAACACACCATTCTGCTCAACAGTCGCTCTGCTGCGAGCAGCGAGACGGCTTCCTACGGCGTTACCACCCTCCACTGTTCAATACAGCCCCGTCTTCCCTCTCCTTTGTGCCGGGACTCGGCACTCGGGGGGCTCACCTGTAATGTCCTCAAGTTCTGAGGCTCGACTCCCTGAGCTCCGGGCCGGGAGGGCAGCTTGGCCAGGCCCTGCTGGCCCACGTGGGCAGGAGACGGCTGCACAATGGAGGCCGCGTTCTGGACAACGGGAGTCTGGGCGGGAGAACCAAGAGCAGCATCAACACACGGCGCCCGGGAAGGAACCSCACGGACGGGCCCAGTGCGACCAGCCCCATCAGTGATAAACCAAGCGCTAACGCTCGCGAGCGGCACCCGTCTCCCGGCTGATCCGCAGGGCAGGGCTATGGATTGCCCACRGTCATGGATACCACTGCATGGCATCGGAGCGAGCGCTTTCCAACCCATGGAGGAGAACAGCAGCCCAGAGGCAGCGGAGCGAGGGTTTTGGAGGCTGCCCCTCAGAGGGGATCTGATCAATATGTGTAAGGACACGAAGGGGGAATGGAGGGAGGAAGGGGCCAAGCTCTTCTCAGTGGTGGCCAGTGACAGGAGAAGGGGCAATAAGTTGAAACCCAGGCAGCTCCATCTCCATGTGAGGAGGAACTTGTGCACTGTGAGGGTGCCCGAGCCCTGGCACAGGCTGCCAGGGAGGCTGTGGAGGCTCCTGCTCTGGAGGTCTCCAAACCCGCCTGGATGCCGCCCTGTGCCCCGTGCTCGGGGTGTCCCTGTTGGAGCAGGGGGTTGCACCGGATGATCCCTAGAGGTCCCTTCCAACCTCAACCCTTCCGTGATGCTGCGAGCCCGGCCCCACGCGCCGCCGCCGTCACCTTCTGCACCACGTTCTCCTTCTGCAGCTGGCTCTGCCTCAGCTTCTTCAGCAGCACGAGCCGGGCCTCCTCCAGCCGCAGCTCGTCGCGCAGCTGCTTGATGAGCTGCTGCCGCTCCTCGATGCTCTTACCCTGCACGGGGACACAAAATCCTTCACCACGGAAAGCGGCCGCTGGGGATCGGCCACGGGGGCACGGGGAAGCATAACGGGAGCAGGAGCGTGGGCCGCGGGCAACCAAAGGGGCCGCGCGGCCCCCGAGAGCGGGCGCGAAGCCCCCGTACCTTGAACATCTCCAGATTGGCGGCCTTCAGCCTCTCCTCCATGCGCGAGCTGGCGCGGGGGCTGGACGCCTCGTTATCCGAGAGCACGATGATATCCGGCGACGGGGTCAGGCGCCCCCGGTCCTGGTCGCTGCGGGACAGCAGGAGGAAGGAAAGGGATGAGCCACAAGAGGGAGGCACCAGGAGCAACAGGAAGAGAGCGCTGTCGGAGCAGCGCCTCCCAACGCCATCGCCGGCCCAAGGGAAAAGGCTCCTGGAGGCGCTGGGGGACAGGGGGGACAAGGGCGACTGCTCGAGGTGCCCGGAAAGCYGAGCCGGGGCACCAGCGCTGCCCGCGACGGCTCTATCCGCGTGACGGGAGCAAGCGCGGGAGCAACCGGAGAGGAAGAGGCGGGCGCCGGGATGAGGGTGCGGGGGAGACCCGCGCGGKGCTGCTCGTGCTCCAGCCCCTGTCTTAGTAGGGGTCTGGGGTATTTCCAAAGCGCATCCCAGCAGGAAAACCTGGAAAACTTCCGTGCAGACACTGCGGGACCTAGAGAGGAGCTGGCGAGGGCGGCGGCAGCCTCACGGAGCGTGGGCAGCAGCGAGCGCTGCGGCACCTCGGAGCTGACGGACACGAACGGCACGGGACACTAAGGAGGCTGGGCCCGGAGCCGGAGCCGCATCCCGCATCCCGTGCCTGGAGCCGAATCCTCTGCGTGGCTGGAGTCGCATCCCGCATGTCCGGAGCCACATCCCATGAGCCCGGAAATGCATCCCACATGTCCAGGGCGCATCCCATGTGCCCGGAGCTTCATACTGCACACTCCGAGCTGCATCCCACATATCCGGGGCGCATCCCATGCACCCGGAGCCGCATTCCGCACACCCGGAGCCGCATCCCACGTGGCCAGGGCTGCATCCCACATGTCCGGGGCCACATCCTGTGTGCCCAGAGCCACATCCCATATATCCGCACTTGCATCCTGCGCACCCAGAGCTGCATCCCGTGTGCCCGGAGCTGTATCTCATGGAGCGGCATGCCATGTGCCCASGACCAGACGGTACCACAGAGCTCCTGCCTTCGTGGCACTGCCGAGCCCCAGCGCTGCTCGGCCACCACCTCCTGACCAGTTTAGCCCACATTTCCCCAAAAAAATCTTGGAATTTTTCCTTCCTGCCCTCTCGGGCACCGGCCGGAGAAGCCACCCCGCGACGCAGAGGGTGGCAGCGGGGCCAGGGAGCCAAGGCCCCAAGGCGGCCAAGTCTGGACCCGCCGCTAAGCGCCCCACGGCCCGGGAGGCCTCGAGGCCGCGCCGGGCGCACGTGTCTCTGCAAAGCGGGAGCCGAGCGGCACCCGGCGGCCTGCGCGGGAGGAAGAGGAGGAGAAGCAGCTTTTGTCACCGCAGGCCGCCCGGGAAGCCGCCTCTCTCACGCACACCCGAGGCCCTGCGAGTCGCTGAGCGCCGTCCCTGGCGTCACGCACGGAGGCGGCGGCCGGGAAGCTCCGTGCGGCTCCGCTCGGCTGCCCGGCCCGTTTGCCGGGCTGGCTCTGCACCCCAAGCCGGCAGCRACCCGGAACGGGCGCCCGCCGCGCCGTCCTTCCCCCCGGAGCGCCGCCCGGCGCCAGCCCTGCCCACCCGCCCCCTTCGCGCACGGCGGGACCCGCGGAGGCCCCGGAGCTCCCTGGGGACAGGAATCCGGCGCGGGCGCGAACCCAGGGAGCGCCGGGAACGCCGGTGCCTCCCTGGCGCACGGACACAACCCTCGGGCGAGGGCCCTTCGGGAGCAGCCTCCAGAGGGAACTACATCCCCAATATCCCTTCTTCCTGGCGGTCCTAGGGAGCCCCTTTGGGGAGAGCTGCCCCCCACACTCAGACTGCAGCCAGGGGCACCTCAGGGGCACCAGGAGAGCAAGGAGCCTCCTCCAGCTCTCCAGGACCACGAGGTGCTCGTTCAAGGACTCGGGATCTCCCACCTGGCCGCAGGGAGGATGCACAAGAGGCTGGCTCCAGCCTCCGCGCCGCCCCTTACCTCCTCCTCGCGCTCATGTCCACGGGCTCGTCGTTAATGTTCTCCTTGCCCGGCCTCCCTCCAGTCCTGCCCTCCCCGTGGGGCCTGAGGCTCCCGTTGAGCTTCTCCTCGTAGACTTTGACTCCGTCCTGCTTCCCCGGGAGCTCGTGGGGCACCTCGAGGCCCGCGAGGTCCTTGCGCTTGAGCAGCGCCAGCATCTTGAGGCGCTCCATGGCCTCGTGGCCCTCCATCTTCAAGCGCTTCGCCAGCACGTCGTCGCGCTCCTCCGCTTGGTCCAGGCTCCGCTTCAGCAGGTTCAGGCGCAGGGCGTCCTCCGTCATCCGGTCCATCCTGCAAGGGGACGGGAGTCAGGGTGGCAAAATGACCTCGGCGCCGCTTCCCGGGGCGGCCAGACGGGGAGTTTGCCGAGCGGGAAGGGAAGGCTCCCCAGGAGGCTCCGTGCGCCGCAAGGAGAGGCCGGCGGGCGCGGGCAGCACCCGCGGCGCCCCGGCTCTCCCGTCCCCGCCATCGCTGCCAGGAGGCCGCCGGGACCTCCCCGTGGCGCCGCGGGACCTGCAGYCCCTGGATGCTCCAGGGGAGTCCGGAGGGGCCAGCGCGCGGAGCCGCGGCCTCGGCCGCTCGCRCCGGGACGTCCCCAAGGGGTGACGGGGACAGGGACCAGCCAAGGTCCCTCTGCAGCGCTGCCCAAGGACCCTGCGTCCCCAGGAAGCAGGGAATGAACTCGGGGAAGCCGAGGCCACCTTAAGTGACAAGCGCCTGGAGCAAGCGCCCCGCGCGCCGCCGGGATGGGCAGCGGGTCGGGATGTGTTTATCCCGGCACCCAAAGGGCCGGGACACCCCGAGCTGCTTCCCCGGCCCGGGGGGAATGCGGGCGCCCGGCGGCTCCATGAGGAGCATCCCAGGGCAAACACGGAGGTTGAGCCTCGGCCGCCGGGCTCGGGAGCGCCCCGGAACCACGGCCAGCTCCCGGGAACCCTGCTCTTTATGGGGAATCGGGAATTCCYGACGAGAGCGCCAGCGGGATTCCTTCCTGCCGGCGCAAGGCCTTCCTGGAGGAACGGGATGGGGAGGCTCCAAGGGTTGCTCATGGGGACACGGGGACACGCGGCCGCTTCCCAGCCCCGCGAGGCAGCGGCCACGGAGCGTCCTCATGAACCTGGTCCCTCAGCCCCGTCTCCTGCCACCTCCTCCAGGATGTGGCTCCCAGGGCTCCCGCACATCCGCTGCGCTTCCCTAAAAGAGCTTACACATGGGAAAAAAACATATATATGGATGGAGCCATCAAAGCAAACTTCTCAAAGGGTGGCAGAATCCCGCGGGGGAAAACAGAGGAGCCACGGAACAGGTTTGGGCTCTGGCGCGAGGCAGGAGAGCAGGAGCCCCGGCCCCCCGGGAAGCGCCGGCTCGGAAGCGACGCACGGAAGTTCGGAGGCTCCCTGGAAGTTCGGAGGCTCCTCGGGAGGAGGCCGGCCAGGATTCCCTGCTCGGCTCGGGCCGGGGCATCCAAGTGCAGCGAGGACCAGCCCTGACGCCCTCCCTGACCTTCCTCCTCCTCCAGGAGCCCTTTGCTCCGCCTGCTCAGTGTCCCTCCCGCGGGAGCGATGGGGACGCAGGGCAGGATCGGCCCCCGCTCCCCTCTTCTCCAGAGGGACTCTGGGCTACAATTCCCAGGAAAAAGCAGCGCTCCAAAGGGCGATGGAGGCAGCGCCGGAACCTCCTCCGCGCCCAGGACTGGGCCTCCCTGTGGCTCCCCACGGGAGGCTCCGGTCCCGCCCGGCCCCGCGGGCTCCTCTGCGGCTCCCTTCAGCCTCGGGCACCYTCCCGTCTCCGGTGCCGGGCAGACGGGTTTTCCAGACCCGGCCAACCCAACCAGCAGCTCACTTGTGCATTTAGAAGCTGCGACCAGGGAGCTCAGCTGCGAAACGAAGATCATCCCGGAGGAGCAGGCTTGGCCAGGCCTCCTTACGCACCATTCCTAAGGCAGGGATCAGCCCGCGGATCCGAGGCGCCTTCCTCGGCCGGGAAAACCGTCTCCTCTTGSTCCCGGGCCGACAGCGGCCGCGTTGGCACCAGAAAGGCCAACGRTGCCGGCAGCAGGGATGTTGGGGAGCGGGCAACGCGCCTGGCACGCGGAGGGGCTGYGGATCCCGCTCCATGCCAGGGGGAGCGTGTCCGGAGCGCGGGGAGAACCCTGGAGCGCCCGGAGCTTTCAACAGGGCCCAGCGGAGCCAAGTGTCATCCCGGGAAGCTCCGGTAGCCCCTGGGAACCCCGAGAGCTGCRCCCTACTGTACTTACTGTACCCACTGTACCCACTGTACGTGCAAGCAAGACACCGGCGAGAGAAGCCGCGGAGCTCTCCGGCGATCCCGATCCCGCCGGGAAGCGCCGCGGGCCCCGGCGCAGGGCGGAAGGTGCCGCCTGTGGGCGAAGGAAGCGGCGCCGGAGCGGGAGCAGCGGAGCGTCGGGAAGCGCCGTTCCACGCGGCGCGCACAAAATGGCTGGCTCCCCCCGGGAGCGTTTCCCGGCGCTCCCGGAAAAAGGGGGAATCGCCTYCAAGGGTCATCAGGGCTTAACGGGGAGGGAGAGCTGCGGGAACGCCGGAACGGAGCCGGGGAAAGGCCGGGCCGCGCTCCGAACGCCGCCGCGGCCGACGGCAGCTGTGCAGGAATCCGATGGGATGGGAGGAAGGCTGCGCGGCTGCGTGCAGGAATGCGGGCTGCAGGTAGGAGGGAAAACGCGGAGGCTTCGGGATTCGCCCCGGAGCAGCGCACGCGGGGGCCCTTGAGGACCCGCCACAAAGGGGAAATAAGGGATGAGCCTTTGGGAATTCCCGGAGCGGGAATAATAACGGGGCGGTGAGAAGCCAGGGTGGAAGCGAGTGGGGTTTAGGTGAAACGGAGCCCGGGATAGGAGGACAAAGGGAATATCGGAGCGGACTGAGGGTGAGTTGGCAGTGGAGGCGGCTGCGGGATCGTGGCGGCCGCTGCATCCCTATGGGATCCGTGCGGCAGCCGGGCCGGCTGCTTCCCGGCCTCGGGAAGGGCGCTGGGCCCGTGCGCAGGCTCCGGAGAGCCCATGGAGCGGGAAGGCGCCCGCGGCGACTTCCCAAGCGGCTGCCAGGCCGGGTTGCTCCAGGAAAGGCGGGGGAATGGGAGCGGGGGCACAGAGGGGGCCGAGCCCTTCCCGGCGCCGGGCACGCGCGGAGCGCGGCGCTTCCCGGATCCCGGGGGACGATCCCTCCGTCTGCACGTGGAGCCCCCCCGGCCGCGGGCGGCCGCTCGGGGCACAGGCGGGCGGCGAGCGCGGCCGCGCGAAGCCCAGCGGGAAGCGGCTCCGGGAACCGGGATGCGCCCGAGCGCCTCCCGGCCCTTTGTGCACGGCCGAGGCCGGCCCGGAACACAATGGATCCGGCCGGGAACACAATGGATCCGGCCGGGAACACAATGGATCCGGCCGCTCTCCGTGCCACCGAGGGGCTCTCCTTGCCGCGACGCGAGCGGGAGGGAACGCGGGGCGGAGAGGGGGGGTAATTCCCAAATCCTTCCGCCTGGGCAAAGAGGCCGGCGGTACTTACAGGTACGAGATTCCCGCTGCCGCCTGGAGTTGCCAGGGAAAATTGGGGGTGGGGGGCGCGGGGCCCCCCCGCGGGAGCGCCCGGCCCTGCCAATCCAGCCGCTCCGGCTCTATTAAACAAAAGGAGAGGGGCGGGGGGGGCATGGGGTGGGGGGGTGCTGACTCCTACCCGTGATGCCTCGCGGGGACAGGGGAAAAAAATAAAATAAAATAAAAGGGAAAAAAAAATAAAACCAGTTGCAGCTGGTTTGTAACCTCAGGACATGGAATTATCTCTTTTTTTTTTTTTTCCCTTTTTTTCCCCATTTTCAAGGCGGTTGGTGGAGCGGGCGCTTGGCGGAGCGCCCCCCCCCCCGGCGGCCCCCCTGGCGCCCGGCCAGCCCCGGCCTTCGGCCTCCGCTCGCGAGGCCTCCTCTGCCTCAGCTGCTCCCTTAACCGCTCGGGCCCCGCGCGGGGCTCGGCATGGGGAGCGAGGCCCGGGATGCGCACGAGGCCGCCGGGATAACCCAAGGGCAACGGGAAGGCTCGAGGAAACGGGGAAGCGTCGGGGAGGGAGTSGATCCCTAAGACCTGGGAATGATCCGGGATGGAGGGGATCCTCAACACCCAAGAACAATCGGGGACTGAGTTGATCCCCAACACCTGGGAACGGAGTCAATGCCTAACACCCGGGAATGATCAGGGATCGAGTCGATCCCCAACACCCGGGAACAGAGTTGATCCCTAACACCTGGAAACAGAGTCGATCCCTAACACCCAGGAATGTTCAGGGATCGAGTCGATCCCCAACACCCGGGATCAATCAGGGATCAAGTCGATCCCCAACACCCAGGAATGATCAGGGATCAAGTCGATCCCCAACAGCCAGGAATGATCAGGGATCAAGTCAATCCCGAACACCTGGGAACGGAGTCAATCCCTAACACCCAGGAACGATCGGGGATCGAGTCGATCCCCAACACCCAGGAATGATCAGGGATCRAGTCGATCCCGAACACCCGGGAACGGAGTCAATCCCTAACACCCAGGAACGTTCCGGGATGGAGTCGATCCCCAACACCCGGGGATGATCAGGGATCGAGTTGATCCCAAACAACTTGGGACCGCGTCAATCCCTAACCCCCGGGAACGATCCGGGATGGAGTCGATCCCCAACACCTGGGAACGATCCGGGATGGAGTCGATCCAGGGGCTGTAACTAAATCCCAGTTTCGCCACCACCGCAAGCAGCGGTGCTACCGGGTTTCCCTCGTTAGATAAAATGGATCCACTCCGTTTCCAAGGTGGGAAATAACTAATTAGGCCGTAATTACCCGGCAGTTACACCGATCCACTAACGAGGTGGCCACTTGGGCCCCAGGACGATTTATTCCCAGGCTCCGCGTCCATGCGGGGCACGGAAGGAAGCAGCGAGCGGAGAGACGGAGCGAGAAACGAGCCCTTGGAAAGAGTCCAAATTGGGGGGTTTCGGGCAGAAATCCTCGGATTTGGGGTTCTGCCGGAAGAAACCGCTCCCTGGAAGCCGCCCCCAGCACATGCCCCACTCRGGCCTTCATCGTCTCTCCTCTTCATCGGCCTCAAGCCCGCCAAGCTCTACGTTTCTTCTGCCGCTTTCCCTACCCCYGGCCATTCCCATTCCCTGGTTTTTGAGCATTCCCTGCCTTTTCTTTTCCCCCCATGCTCCCCACCTTCCCGTAGACCTTTGATTGTTGCTTTAAGCCTCGCACTGAAGATAAAACTCATCTCCGCAAACCG